TGTAAATTAAGTACACGTACTCTTTTGTTATTTACTGTTGAAGTGGAGTTTGCTGGTTTTCCTGCTGGGTGCAATTACGTACATTGCGAGTCTGTATAAAATTTCTGTTTCTGTTTTGAGTTGATGATCCTCTTTGCGAGTTGTTATTTTGTCTAAAATTGTTGTTGTATCGGGGCTGTGGTCTAAATCTTCTACCTTGATAACTTCCGTAGCTGTTATTTCGGTAACCACCACGAAAATTACCACGGTATTGATTTTGTTGTCGTATGCTCAGGATTGTATTTGAACTACCCGTTATCTCTGTGCAGCTATTGGTGAATTTAGAGATGGCATCATTCATTGATGTAAATGTGCCAGCTTGCATTATCATTTTTACTTTTTCGTTGGAGCAATTCTTGCACATAGCTTTGACCGCCGCCTGTGTTGAATATCTGGTGGCTAAGTCTGGGTTTAGTCCAACCGAGATATATGCTCCTTCTAGTGACCTGGTAATTTTTTCTATTTCTGTAGTATACTGATTTGCGGTTTTACTACGTTGTTGTACGTTCAGGAGTTTTGCTGTCAAAACTTCTACTGATTCTCCTTTAATAGTAGATTTCAATTTTGACTTAATTTCTTGAATTGAATTTTCATTACTTATGTAATTTCTTGCTGTACCTTTTAGCTTGGTTTTTATCATAGTTATCGCCAGGGCTTCATGATTATCTTTGATTTGTTCCAAGATATCAAGAGCGTCTAGAAAGCTGTGCAGATTTTCTGGCTTACCATCAAACTCTGGTAGCACTGATGAGGCTGTCTTAATGAATTCTACTGTTGATTGTGCCATTTTGACGTTTCCTATTTGCAAAGTTTTTGTTTGATTTTAAATTTTCCTGTCTTCTTCTAAATCGGATGAATTCTCCAATAGGAAGATATTGAAGTCTATTTGTATTTCTTGTTCGAATGAGGTTGGGATGGTTACCTCAATATTATATCTTGCTAGTGAGGATACTAATTTGTCTCTAACAGTTGAAAATATTTGGTTTGCTTCTATTTGGTGACTGCTAGTTAATTGGTTATTACGTATGGCCTTTCCTAATTTATTCAGTGAATCTAATATTGTCGTGAGGTGCTTAAACACAGTTTAATTTTTTATTTTTATGTTTTTATTTATACACTTGTAGGATTTTTCTGCGGAAGCTTTTTCTTCTATAAGTGTCTGATAAAGTTCTTCCCATTTGCCCATTTATTGCAATGCTGACAGGGAAGCGAGCGTAAAATTGAAGTTTTAGATACGCTCTTGGACGTTATTTAGTCTTCTTAATTTTTTTTTAATATAACTCTTCAATTTTAGGGCTACTGCGATGATCAATAGCATGAGTATGCAAGCGAAACCACTTAACCAAATATCTGGATTATTTGAAAGTTTGTTTGTTTCTACCTCCGCCGGTGGTTCGTATCTAACTATCCTATTGTCTGTGTTTTCTGATGTTTCCTTTCCTATTTCATATCCCGCAATGGCTATCAGAATGCTATTTGCTATCTTTTTCCACCACGATATTTTGCATAGAATAAGAAAAGTTTTCGGAAATCAAAATTTTAAATTTTTAAATTTTATTTATTTATTTATTACTCAATTAATGCCTATTTGGAAAATATTTTTCTAACATTAACATTATTTCTTTTTCTTGGGTTGATGAATTTTTTACGTCTTCCATGGTAGGTTCTCTGTCCATACCAATGGAATTCCAAAATTCCCTTAACCAAATTAATTCCCTTTCGTAATCTCTAGTTTCTAGTTTTAATGTTGCATTTTCATCCCGCTTGATGGGATTTTTTGTAAAATCTTTTGGCATTCCAATTTGCTTTTAATTTTTATTTCTCTTCTCTTAAATTTCTAATTAATTTTCTTAGATTAAGTCTTTCTTCGGTATCTGTTGAAAGATTTAACAATCTATAAGTTTCGGCTATTTGTTTCTTTTTTTTGAACTGTTTGCCTCCCGCTTTTGTTTCTGTCTTTTTACCGGGGTAGGTATTTTTAATATTTCTTTTTTATTAAGCTTATTCCTACGCCGATATTCTTCTATGGTTATCGGTGTCGGGCCTTGTTTCACCACTGTGGAGGTGCTGAGGACCTCTTCAGTGTCGTTTGTTAAAGCTTTTAATTTTTCTACATACTTTTCGAAGATTTCATGAAATTGTTTTTCAGTTATGTCTGACATAACTGAAAAATAGCTGAAACTTATATATTTTTTTTTAAATTTTCTTAATTTACGGAAAAGAAAATTCCTAAGCAGAAACCAAAGGATTTCTGCTACTTGTTTAGCTACCGTGAGGTTCGCCAAATTTCATTCTACTTATACTAGATTAGTATTCTACCTTGTTTCGTGCTGCCAGTCATTTATTGCTGCCAGTCATGGTTAAACGGTTTTTATCCTTTTGTATTCCACCCTGTTTTGATGTCGCATCGGGATCCCTGTGGAGTTGGGTACTAGGCTTTCTGCTGTTTTGGGAACTAGCAGGATATTTTGTCTGCCGGGATATTTTGACAGTCGTTTGTGGCAAATTGTTTCTTAAATTCTGCTTGGCAGGATCGAAAATTTATCCTTACGTTAAAAAAATTTATAGTTGAATTGGCAGGATCGTGTAATTTCTATTTATGCCATTTAATGTTCTTTAGCAGTCTGCTTTAAAAGAGCAGTCTGCTTATTTTGAACAGAACTGGCAGGATCGCCATGTAAACGTTTAATAATTAATAATTCGTTTCCGAGGTCAGACAGAATTGAATTCTTTATTTGGAAAGTATTTTCTTTTATACAAATGTTATTGATACCTAATTACACTAATACTTACAAACTAAATGTACATAATTTCATATATGCAAGTCAGCATATTTCAGTGACCTACATATGACTGATTGATTAATATAAACCAATATGTAACATGAGTGCAGCAATGCATGAACTCAAGCTGAGTTCAAATGAATATATGGGTTATTAATAATTTGCTGCGTGTGTGGTCTGCATATGTGGATATATGTATATATTGGACAATTGGATATAGTGAAAGTGAAACGGATTTCAAATGCATGTTACACAACTAACCGCATCCGTTGCTGGAGGAATCTTCGGGACTGCCTCTAAGAGCAACCATCTGCTGTTGTACTAGTTGTCGTAACCAACCCTAAGTGTCACTTTCCTGTCTCGGGGTCAGGACCATTCCCAGAAGGTCAATCTTTATATCTTGGCCAAGTAG